AGAGAGAAATGGATAGATAGATAGATAGATAGATGATAGATAGATAGATAGATAGATAGATAGATAAATAGATAGATAGATAGATAGATAGATAGAGAGAGAGAGAGAAAGATGATCCATACGTACGTAGTACTTTCTTCTGCAATACGTCAGTTCTAACTAAGACTACTCTGTACCTTCTCACTTGTGCACGCCTAGAAAAGTGGCCTGAAGGTAAGACACACTTAAAGACGATATCACTCAGTTGTTGGTACATGTAAAATGTACCTTGTGACTGATGACAGTGCCCATTTTTATTTTTCACTCGCGATTATTATTAATATTTATTAAATTCTTCCAAGTACCTTTCTTGTAACTAAAGGTGTATGCACACTAATTGGGGGGGGGGGGGGAGAGAGAGAGAGAGAGAGAGAGAGAGAGAGAGAAAAAAAAAAAAAGAGAGAGAGAGCATGGCACTTATAGATCGAAATGCGAATAGGTAATTGTTCTAGTCGTATAACTGAAATTATAGTATGAAACCATGCCTCGTACTGCAACGGTCATGTAGTGAATCATATGTTTTTCTGAGTTGCCTCATTCGAATCTGCAATTTAACGTTTTTGGCGTTTCAATATACATTTTAAGACGACCGTGGATACTATCTCTGTTGCCGTTGACAATTTCGGATGCACAGAAGCACCCAGAGCTTGTGCCATTGCTCCCTGTACAAGACACCCAATGTTATCATCCCACCCTCCGAAGGTGGACAATGCCGCTGCACGGTTGACAAGCACAAACCAAGACTTGTCACTTGTAGAAATATCTTTCCCATTTTTAGAACACGAGGACAACGCGGAAATCGCCAGCTGTTGGATTGGTCCATCAGGTGTTGCATCGTGATGCACGACCCGTAATGCCACATGGGGGTAGTCGAAGACGTGTGCCAGCTCGAGTATCTGACGACACCATCTTATATCTTCGTTCCCTCCTTTTTTTTTTTTTTCGTTCGTGTCGTCGCCATCCTCGATTGCATCATCCTCTTGCTCGCTGCTGCAATCGTCTTCATCACCGTTGCCATCATCACAACTTTTATCATCATCATCATCATCATCATCATCATCATCATCATTGTCCTGACTCTCGTCGTTTTCCGAACCAGATGTTACTTCCGCTTCATTTGATGTATAACTGTCTTCTGACTGACAACTTGATAGCAAAACATACACCCGTTCTAAATCATTGCTATTTTTTGCCTCGTGAGATGTTGAAGGAACGCTTGATGGAATCGATTGCAACGCCCATTCTGCCACTACATATTCAGAATGACAATGACCCTTTGACATTCTCAACAACGGCATATGAATGTGTGAGGAATCAGAGGATGCTTGAATAGTCTTTGATTGTGTGTTCATCTGTGCGACATGTCCATCGCACAACTCAAGCTTTTGTCCATCACACTCGGCTGCTAGAGTATCCCAACTTTCCTTCCTTCTGCGTTGTTTGTCGACATCAGTTGCAACCCCACACAGTTTCCTCAAGGCCTCATCAAAAAGAGCCACATCATGTGCTCTTCCTGTGATATCCCTGTCTTGAACAGTATTTGGATATTCCACTACATCGCGCCCAGCGATCACATTCTCGATAATTGGTTCCAGTACTTTCGTGATGATATTTCTTTCCCCCTTGGAAGTGGTTCTCAGTTGCATCATGTGATCCAACAATAGATATTCTGACTCGTTCGCCACAAATACAGGCAGTTCTGTAAGTTTCCGAGGAGCAATATGAACACTTGGCTTCAACTGCGACAGACATAACAACTCTGCGGTACCAGGTTTAAGAACACCCTTCTTACCTTGCAACTGCATATCCGCTCTTGAAATTGTCCCTCGCAATTTCCTTCGGTACTCAACGTCTCCAAGTTTCGTTCCTTTGCGCGTCTTTTCTCTATCAACATTGGTTTGTTTCAAGAGCGAAGCGACAACTGAATCACCTGTGTAGGACAATTCTTGTTTTATTCCACTGAACTCAGGAATATTCAAAGACACTACATCGCAAGACTGCCTCATGTCAACAACAAAGGCAGAAGCTTCAACCATATTCTCTCTATTTGCACTAAGCGTTGAGTTGACATTTACGCTAACTACAAAATACCCTGCCACCTTTTCTTTCAGTGCCTGAAGCTCACTGTCCCTGTTGTAGTCTTCCTCCACTTTCCCATACTTCATAACGATTTTTGCTGCGGCTATTTGTTCCTTCGTGCCGCTCTCCATATTGTTCTTATCTGTCAAACGCAACATTGTCGTTCATATGAGAACGTCGTTCACATTTTGACTTTCATACTTCAAAAATAACACCTAAGGTCATGCAACCATACACAACCAAAATTTGTTTGTTTTTTCATCCTACAAAATATAGTTTTTTTTTTTTTAGCGTCTTTTTTTTTCTAAGACCGTAGACCAAGGCCGGAAGAATGAATAGCAAAATGATGTCCACAAACTCGGGAAGAGCCCCTGCCAAACCGCTTGTTGCCGAATCAACCCCAACCGTATCGCATTGTTGTTAGTCCGGCAGTTAGACCCCTCTGAGGGTGTATGCATGTATGTGTGTGTGTTACATTCTCACCACAACAACCCCTATTCAACTTTACATCTATTCCAAACAATAAAGCACACTTAAGATGACGCAAACCAACAATGAAATAGTTTTACCTTTGTAGGTTGCTTTTGGAACAACATTTATTGTGCTGTTTGCAGCCATTTTTGCAACAATGCTTGCAGCTACCCATGCAGAAGTCCCCACAACAACTGTTGTTACAACCGGTGCTTCAACCGTCCTTGCAATTGTTCCTCCAACAACCAATGCTACAGCTGCAGCTCCATACTGAGACCGCTGCTGCAACCCCTACCTCAACAGTCCTTGCAATTG